CATACAATGGAATATTATTTGGCAATAAAAAAGAAATGAATTACTGATACATGCTTCAACACGAACCTCAAAAACATTATGCTAAGTAAAAGAAGCACATGGGGTGCCTGAGTGGCTCAGGTGATGAAGCATCTGACTCTTGATCTCAGCTCAGGTCTTGATTTGAAGGTGGTGAACTTAAGCCCTGCGTTGGGCTCCAGGCTGGGCATGGAGCCTACTTTAAAAAAAAAAAAAAAAAAAAAAAAGGAGCTACATGCAAAAGGCCATATATTTTATGATTCCATTTATAAAAGAGGTTCAGTATAGGCAAATATAGAGACAAAGTAGATTAGTAGTTGCCTAGGGCTGGGAGTGGGAAATGCTGGTGGGTATGGGACTTCTTTTCAGAATGGTAAAAATGAATTTGATTGTGGTGATAGTTACACAACTATGTGAATACAGTGAAAATCATTAACTTGTACACTTTAAATGAGTGATATGTGAATTATATCTCAATAAAGCTATTGAAAAAAAGCCCCATAAATTCTAATTTCCCATAATGCCTAAGAGCTAGGGGTGCCCATATGCTACAGTTCTGGCCACTCTAAGAGGCTGGTGGAAATACACTATGGGAAAGTTAACAGTCTCCTCATAAAAAGGACTCTGCTAACGCATGCCTTTAGCCTTTCATCCTTTCCCCATCTTCCCAGGTCTAGGCCCTTGGGGGTCCCTAAGAGCAAAAGCATACTAAAGATGGCAGAGCAGCAAAAATGGAGGATACCAGGTAATAGATGATATCCTGGAATCACTACACCAGCCCTGGTTTACCTCTCTCTGGATTTGTTATGGGAGAGAAATAAACCTGTATTTAGTTAAGTGATTATAGATAGGTTTCTTTTTCTTTTATTTTTGAGAAAGAGAGCAAGGGGGCGTAGAGAGAGAGGGGGACAGAGGATCTGAAGCGGGCTCCTTGCTCTTAGCAGAGAGCCTGATGAGAAGCTCAAACTCATGAACTGTGAGATCATGACCTAAGCCGAAGTCAGACGCTCAATCGACTGAGCCGCCCATGTGTCCCTACAGTTAGATTTCTATCACTTGTAGTCAAATGCTATCTCTCATGATGCATGCCTATCTAACATCAGCCTGTGCTTATTCTTGAAGCCAAGAAGACAAAAGGCAAAAAAGTAGACTCAGAAAGATACAAAAAAGTTGATTCCAAATGTAACATTCAGGCCATCATGAAGTCAGCTTTGATTTCTCTCTCCTTTTTTTAAGGGTAAATAGTTATTTTATTTTCAAACTATACATGTTTTCTCCAATCTTGATATATCCCCACGGGAATGCTTATCCCTCTCAAAAAATAAATCACTAAGAAATGCTTTAGTTTTGAAATATGGGATAAACCAAGTATGAACAAATGCCATATTATTATTTGCTCAAATATCAATTCCCATTTCTTTTTTTTTTTTAAATAAGTTTCTAACATCTTAGAGAGCAGCACTCAGCAAACAGAGGCCTGCGGATTCAGTCTACTTATATATAAAAGTTATATATATAAAACACTTATAAGTGCACTCAATACACTTATGTAGGATGTTCATGTGTCCCAAAGAATGAAGTTCAATGTTATTCTAAAATATTAAGCACAAAAATAAAAGTAGAAATAAAATTAACTTAATAAGCAACTGTATTTTTCCTTTCTAGACACATAAATTATATCACCTCCTTTTTATTATATGAGGTGGGGATGAGGGGTAGACCAGGAAAACAATCTATCACTGATGTCAATGAATTACTTCATTTGGGGTAATTATTTTCATGTGTAATGACAAAGTTGACTTTGTAGAAATGTGAAACAATCTGCCATTGGGCTAATTATTCCTGTGACCAGGGAATAATGAAGTGAAAAAGTGGCCAAGGGATTTGGGGGAGGGGGTGGTTTAAGCCACCACTGGGGTGGGATATAGTCTTCCTTACCAATCTGTCTCTTCTTATTTCATGCCATATTGGTTTATATTACATAAATCTTAAACTCTTCAAATATGAATATAAATATCACACTGATAATAGAACACAGTATTTTAAATATGAGATAATGATTTTAAAGAATCAGCAGACTTTTTTTTAAGCCTAATTGCTCTCGTGCAAATAGATATTTTTACTCAATTTGTTAAATATTCAATCCTACCATGTGTCAAGCACTAATTAAGCAAATGAGATTCAGACGTGAGTGACATACAAATTCCTATCCTCAAGGGATGCACAGCCAAGTGGTATAAATAAGCCCACATCTTACCTTTGTCACAGTGCAAACCCAGGAACAAGGCTGAAAAGCAACTACAAAGCCTGGAGGAGCAGGGTAAGGTGTCAGAGCAGTCTCCTGCACACCTGGGTGATCTGGAATGGAGTGTGGCACTCTAAGAGGAGCAGCACATGCAAAGGAAAGGACACATGAAATGACACAATGCATGCGGGCAAGAGTAGTGAGCTGGAGAAGCAGTAGGTAAAACTGCCGGGTTCAGTGGAGACTGCGCACTTGGGAGTCCATAACCCTATCCTGAAGGCTTTGGGAAAGTGGTGAAGGGCTTAAGCAGGGACAGCAGCCCTGTTTTAGGAAGCATTACTCTGCCAGAGTCTGGGTGGGTGGGTTAAGGGTCAAGGCCAGTAGGAAGTTATGGAGGCAATGGAGCAAAAGATGATGGTGGTGAGCAAGACAACCATGTTGGGTCTGAAGTCCTAAGGAAGTGAACTCAACAGAGCCTGATTTTCATATAACAGAAACATTTAAAGTTCTGTGGACCACCTCCCCTCCCCTTCACATTTTTTCCCCAATTAAAACATCACCTTTACCACAACCAAAGACACTGGGGGCAGGAGTCGAGAGTCTTTCATGCTTATAGACCAAATGACATGAAAAAAGGTGTCCCATTCCCTAAAGGGACTTCTTCCCTTTACTGGATCTTTCCCATTAGCCTCTGGAACATTTTGTGGTACTGTATCTTCATCTGGAAAACAAACATGCTCTCCTCCCAGTCCCCCTGCCTGCACCCCCAAATACTTCTTTGATCTCCTTTAGTTAAATACTCCATTCCCCTTCATAAGAAGAACTCTTCAACAGTGCTGACTACAACAGCGTCTCCACCTACCCACTTCAGTCATACTTCAGCTTGCTCCAATCCCTCCTGCTTTTGTCAATAACCTCCATAATGCCAAATTCCATAGAGGCTTCTTTCTCCATGTTGAAATACTTACTTTACTGGGCTCCCATGACAACTCATTTTCTTGTTTCTGTTGTTGCTTTTTCCCATGAGAGTGGCTTCTTTTCAGTCCTCTTTTGCCATCTCTTCTTCCTTCACTAAAGTGTTAAATGTTGAGAGAGCATAGGACTCAGTCCTAAAACCTCTTTCCATCTAAACTCTCTCCAGAGGCTAGTTTATCCAATACCATGACTCTAAATATAGTCTATATGTTATACTCCTACATTAACATGTTCGATGAGAGCTGTTCCCTGAGTTGCAGACTCTCATCTATCTACAAAGATAACCAACTGGCATCTCAAACACGGCCTACAACAAATTACAGATTCCCTTCGCCAAAGCAAAATTCTATTCCTTTTCAATTTTTTTTTTTTTCCATCTCAATATATAGTTTGGCCATACAACAAGATGCTCAAGCCCCAAACCAACTAGTCATCCTTGATTACTCTTTCATTCTCCACCCAACCTTCCAACATCCAAAAGATCTAGATGCTGTCTGTTACCTTCAAAACTTGTCTCTAATCTGCCCCTTCCAATCTCTCATACTACCCAAATTGGTCCCAAACCACTGTCCTTTATTTCCTAAACTATGCAACATTTCTTAATGAGTCTTATTACTTTCCCCCTTGCCTCCCTACAATTCAATCTTTACAAAAGACCTGGCATAGTATTTTTTAAATGGCAAATCAGATCATGTCACTGCCTTATTTAAAAAAAAAAAAAAAAAAAATGCGGGGCGCCTGGGTGGCTCAGTCGGTTGGGTGGCCGACTTCGGCTCAGGTCATGATCTCGCGGTCCGTGAGTTCGAGCCCTACGTCGGGCTCTGTGCTGACAGCTCAGAGCCTGGTGCTGACAGCTCAGAACCTGGTGCCTGTTTCGGATTCTGTGTCTCCCTCTCTCTGGCCCTCCCCCATTCATGCTCTGTCTCTCTCTCTCTCTCTCAAAAATAAACGTTAAAAAAAAATTAAAAAAAAAAATGCTTGAATGAAAAATTCCATTTTATTTAGAAAATATGTGCCCCATGGCTTACAAGGCCTTGCTGTTATCTGTTCCTGTGTCTTTCAGACCTCATCTGGTACCCTCTTATCCCTAGCTATATTACAGCCATGCTGGCCTGTGTCCTCATCTTCCAGCAGCAGCAGCTGGAAGATAAGCAGAAAAGGCCACGTCCAGAGGACAGTTTGTTCTGTTTTGAGGCCTCTGCAATTATGTCCCTTCAGCCTGGATCTTCTCATAGCTGGCCTGTCATTCAGATGTCAGCTCAAATGCCACCTGCTCACAGAAGCCTGGCTAAATATTACACCTAAAGTTTTTCTCTATGATACACCTATTTTTTTTCCACAGCACTTACCAAAATCTTACTTATGTCCATTATCTGCTTTTCCCAACCAGAATGTAAGACTTAGAAAGAGAGGAGCCCCATCTGTCCTATTCCCTGCCTATCTTGAGAGCCAGACATACAATGGACACTCAATAAATATACATGTATTGAATGTATAACCTAATCCTCCTTACTTCTACAAATAAAATTTTCTTACAATGGGGGTGTTATAAGAAAGGACAGACTGTAATAGAGCGCTAGGTCTTTGGAGCCAACTTATAAAACCGTATCAGTGCTTTGTTAATTTGCTTCTTCCCTATAAAAAGTACCTTTTCTGCAAAATCTCTTCAGTAATATTCACACCCTACAACAAAACAATTAGAATAAGACCACCCATGGAAATCTTATAACTGCTCTTTTCATTGAAGTCAATGAAGTCTAGCTCAGCAAGAAAAATCTATTTAAACTCTTAAACCACCTACTAAAACAAAAACACATATATAACATAAAACAGCTTACAAACACAAAAAGATAAGGTTAAAGGCATCACACATCCCAGCAAACTGAGAGCACCTCCAAGAGCAACTGCTAACTTGGGATAGTAAGTCACATGTCAGCACTTTTTCTTTTAAACTGATCTTGTACATAATAGAACTGTGATTTCTAAACAATATATTTTTTCTAAACAATAACCTGAACACAAAATAGAATGAAGTGAATGTTGGAAGGGATGCTAGAGTTGAACGATTCTATGTATATAATGCATATAAAGAACTAAATAAATATTTGTTGATTGAATGCCAAGATTACAGGTTGTGAACAAAATCATTTGTAACTTACAAACAGTTCAAAGAGCTTTTAAAAAACTGGGCATTCAGGGGCTAAGTATTTCATAAAAACAAAGAACCACTGTTATTAAATAAATGGTACTCAGAAAAATCATACTCTTGGTCTGCTTTTGGAAGAGCATGTGCTGGGTGAGCTACTTTTCCAGATGTGCTGACTCATAAAACTTCTTTAAGAATGGCACAAGCCTCCTCCAACTGCTACACATTCTCCCTAATAACCTGTAAGGATGGGAATAGAGGCAGGCACCTGCAGGCCTAGCTATTTAGGCAGCCCATTCAACTCTGCCTTAGGCCAACTACAACCAAGCATAAATACATACATACCCCTCATTTAATGGCTCTGGATAAAAGTTTCAATGTTGTAATACTTCCTTGTAATAATAACCCCAACATCTTATTAGACTTTGGAGGTTGAGTAGAGTCAGCTGTAACTGTGTTAGGGCTTCAGAGCCTGATTACATGGATGTCTAGCTGGTTGCTACATGTTCAAAGACTTATCAAACAACCAATTGTTCATTATGAACAATATGTTCAATACTGTTGTAATATAAAACAAATCCTTTAATTTTTCAAGTGTTTTAAGAAATAACTTTATACTTAAGCCAGTCTTGAAGATTAGCACAAAATTTACCAGTTTACTTTCTTTTTTCTTCACTACCCAGAACAACTCAAGCACCCACTCTGTGCATAGCACTACCCTAGGTGCAATAAAAGGGATTCTTAATCTTAGAAACATGATTTCACTTTCTGGAACTGTATTATCTCCTTTCTCAGAGAGTAAAATAAATAAAATCGCCATCATTTACTACTGACCTGCCCCAAATCTACTTCCAGCTCACAGAAACACTAATTCCTGCCAAACTGAAGATGTTTCAATGAACTCAGCTTCTACTTTCCCCAAAATAAGAAAGCAGAAATAATTTCCATTAAAAAATTAAAAAAAGAACAGTTTCCCACAAAAGGACTTCTATTTCTAAATTTTTTTTCATTTTTTTCCCTGTAGCTTTCCCACAGTTTTCTTCCTCTAATATTGCCTTTTCCTGTAAAAGGCAAACCAGACATCTTTTTATGCTGTTTTTCTTTTCCTAAGGAAAAAGTAATGTATCTTGAAGACAAACCATTCCCAAGACTAGTGATAAATATTAAAAAACAAAAAAAAACAAAAAAACTTTAAAGGTGAATCACCTATATTACCTTGACGAAGTAAAAAAATAAAAAGCAGTTGGCACTAAGATAGCTATTTCAAATATCTGTGTTTAAACAATTTTTAAAACTGTTTATTTATTTTGTAAGAATGTACCCCTAGTCCAAAGTAACTATGTTTTAAAAAATTTGGGGCCAAAAAATTTACAAAAGGCTTTTCAGTTCAACCTAATAAAAATGATATCTAGAAAATATTCCACATTATTACGTCTGTCTTTAAAAGTTCAGATTCTAAAGCATTCCTAAGGCACGGTGTTCCGGAAGACATGTGCTTCTGCTGGTGTTGTATGATGTACGAAGCATCTATGACTGGTTCCAAGTGAGCCCCGACAGGCACAGTGCTCCTGATGCTGTGGGACTGTGAGAAGCGAGTCAGACATAAGCCCCCAGGGCTGCATGGAACTCCGTGAGACACTGTACCAGCTGCTGGAACTTGGGCCTCTCCTCTGGGTCTAAGGCCCAGCAACAGGCCATCACAGCAAACCTGCAGAGTGACACAAATGGAAAATTGGGTTAATGATAATACAGTACTCCTAATCTTCTGGTCAATTTGATGCCAGTTATGTTTTTTGTCTAAAGGTGGGCATGGAAAAAATGATATTAAAAACCAATGAATATTACTATATGTTGGCAGTTCTAAAATGAAAAGAAACTAAAACAAGTTACCTGGATTTTATGTGTGGATTTCCATTCTTCATGATGTCATATCAAAATACATCAGCAAATACAGAGATTTCATATAAATACCTAAAACCCATGTTTTCTGAGAGAAAGAACTTGAAGGAAGTAGAAAGTTTATCTAAGCTCTAAGCACCCTACATCTACAGTGAAATCAGTGCAAAAGCTGCCACCTCACCTTGGTGTATAAAACTTTGGGGGATTCAGGAACTGAGACCAGAGTCACGTGTGCACCCAATCACCCCTGAATAGCCTCCTGCCCCCCTCAATCCCATAATTTATATGGGAAGTTACATGATGAAAGCAGGAAACAGGAACTATCTCAGTCACTAGCCTGGAGCAGTTTCCTTACATATCAGTTGACGCCAATTGACAAGGTAAGATGACAGTGAGAAAGGCTTTTTATAACTAAGGCTGTATAAATAAAAGTCAGATACTCACTCTACATAGAGTAACTGACACAGTATTCAGTACTGTCTTACTATGTACATTATTAGTCTCTCAGATTAGACTTACAAATAGAAGAACAATAAAATGTTCTAATGACAAATGTATTAAAGAGTGAATGAGTCTGGTTTACTTTGCGATTCTCTATGAGTCTAATTCAAATCCAAAGAGTCATTCTTCTCTAAAGGAAAGTCTCTGTATGAATACGGACACTGGCTCTTCTTTTATCCCAGTATCATAAATGGAGTGAAACCCATGTCTTCAAATTCAGAAACACTTACAGCTCATCAGGACAGTTGATTGGCTGGGCTATTCGGTAGCCATCTTTCAAGTACGCAGCCATCTCAAAGGGATCAATGTCCACATACGGTGTCTGTCCCAGAGTCATGAGCTCCCACAGCGTCACTCCAAAGGCCCACTAAGGAGAGGAGGAGAAACACGATGAGGCAACATTTACAACATGGGCAGACTGCTGCTGCCCATTACCAGGGATGAACCGAAAATAGCACCCAATCTTAAAGGAAGCAAAACATCTACCAAAAGAAGTCTATGATAGCTACTTAGTTTCTCTCAGACAGAAAAGAGCATTTTGGGGCGCCTGGGTGGCTCAGTTGGTTGAGCGTCCAACTTCAGCTCAGGTCATGATCTCACAGTTAGTGAATTTGAGCTCCGTGTCGGGTTCTGTGCTGACAGCTCGGAGCCTGCTTCGGATTCTGTGTCTCCCTCTCTCTCTGCCCCTAGCTTGCTTACACTCTCTTTTTCTCTTTCAAAAATAAACATTAAAAAAGAAAGAAAGAAAAGAGCATTTTAATGAATGCACCCTTTAATGTGAATATCATTATTATATATTCTAAGGTAATTAGATCCCTTGGAATGAACTGTTTTTACTGTTGATTATAAAACTCACCACCCTAGGGGCATCTGGGTGGCTCAGTCAGTTAAGCATCTGACTTCAGCTCAGGTCATGATCTTGCAGTTTGTGAGTTCAAGCCCCGCATCAGGCTCTGTGCTGACCACTCAGAACCTGGAGCCTGCTCTGGATTCTGTATCTTCCTCTCTCTCTACCCCTCCCCTGTTCACACTTTCTCTCTCTCAAAATAAATAAACATAAAAAAAAAAAAAAGACCCACCACCCACCACCATTAATTATATCTAAGATTTTCCTAAAATGAAAAATCTGTTACATTATATAACTATAGCTAGTGTCCATAATTGAAAAGTGGAAAATGAATAAAACTTAAGCCTAACTGCAGGAAGGGCATTCTGAATACGCGAAATATGTAAACTATTTAAATATAAGATGTCATGGATTTTTACTATATTCAAATAATTTAATAAATGAAAGTATCTTGAAAAAACATCTTTGGACCTCACTTGAGTAAAAGATCAGATTTATTTAAAATCAACATGTGAACTGTCAGTAAGAATAGAAATCATAAGCAGTGGCAACAGTGTTTATTCATGGTCCAAGCAGGACTCCCCATTTTGGCCCTGGCTCACAGGGATTGCTATCCTGGCTCACAGGGATTGTGCACCAGGCAGGCAACACGTCTACATAGAGTTACTGCCATGTGATCAGAAAGGGCTCAGAGCAGGGACTCCCGCTGATCCACTGCCACTTGTGAACCCTGAGGTCAGAACAGCTGAAGCTGGATGAAGAGGAAGGTATCTGTGTACCATGGTATCGTGTTTATGAGTCCCTTCTGTTCTAGACATTTTGAATCCTTTACCTTATCTAATTCTCACAAAAAACCTATGAGAAGCACTGGTAGCCCAATTTTACAGGTAAGAAAAACTGAGGCCAGAGAAATAACTGGCCCCAAAAACCAAATTTTTTTGAGTGAAGGAGAAAAAAATTAAGAAAAAGAAAAACACACGAGTCAAAAATGAGTCTGTGTACAAAATCTGAGCACAGTGCATTAAATTTTAAGTAATTATTTTTCAATAACAAAATCGAGAAATACTCCCTAAAGTATACAGATTAAAAAAAAAACCTTATATTAGTGAACAACAGCTTTATTTCTTATTATAATCTATGCAAAAAAAAAAAACAGTGGAAAGATATCTTTTAGGATATTTAAAAAACTATCAATGGAGAATTCTATACCAAGCCAAAATATACTTCAAAAATGAAGGCAAAAATACAGAATTTTTTAGACAAACAGAAGCTGATATGAAAATTAGGATCTACACAAAAAAATGAATACTAAAAACATGAGTAACAACTAGATTTTTTTTTTATTTTAAAGTTTCTTCAATAGATTGTTTAAAGCAAAAACAGTAACAGTGTATTGTGGGGCTTATAATGTACATAGTAGTAAAATGTATGTCCACAGTAGCATAAAGGATGGAAGGAGATACTAAGTGGAAATATTATAAATGCTTCTATTAAACATGAGTGGTAGAATATTATTTGAAAGTCAAAGGTGTACACTGTAAACTCCAGGAGAGGGTTCTCAACCTCAGTACTATGTATATTGTGGGCTGCATAATTCTTTGCTGTGAGAGACTATCCTGTATCTTGTGGGATCCTTAGCAATATCCTTGGCCTCACCCACTAGATGCCCCAAGTGTGGTAACTGAAATTACCTCCAGATCTTACTCAATATCCCCTGGTGGGGAGGGTAAAAATGCCCCCAGCTGGAGGTGAAAACCACTAAGCTAGACTAATCAAAGAAAAGAAAGGACACACACTACTGATACCAGGAATGAAAGAGCATCATTACATCAAAAAATATGAACTCAACTTTATGACAATAAATTCAATTAACTTAGATGAAATGAGCAAATTCCTCAAAAGATGTCAATTATCAAAGTAGACCTAAGAATAAACAGAAAATGTATGTAGCTTATATCTATTACAGAAATTGAATGCATAGTTAAAAATGTTTCCACAAAGAAAACTGCATCCAGTTTCACTCGGTGAATTCTACCAAATTTGAAAGAGAAAAAGACAAACCTTTATTAGTTTCCTAGGCCTGCCATAATGAAGTACCACAAACTGGGTGGCTTACACAACAGTATGTATTATCTCACAGTTCTAGAGTCTAGAAGCTTATTCTTAGCTTCTGGTGGCAGTCAGAAATCCTTGGTGTTCCTAGGCTTATAGCCGTGGCAACTCACTCTGCCTGTTTTCACTGACATTCTCCCTTCCCATGTCTGTGTCTCTTCTTATAAGGACACTAGTCATACTGGATTAAAGTACACCCTAATTGAGTATGACCTCATCTTAACACTATGTCTGCAATGACCCTATTTCCAATTAATGTCACATTCTAAGGTACTGTGGTTTAGGACCTCAACCTAGTTTTTAGGGGGGCACAATTCAACCTATAACACAATCCCATAAAAATTCTTCTCAGAAAATGGAGGAAGGGAATATTTCCCAACTCATTTTGAGGCTAGCATACCCTTAAATACCAAAACCAAAGAGTTAATAAGCCTTTGGAACTCAGTATCCTTTTCATTAACAGATCATTAGGGTGGAGCAATGCCCATCCCTGAGGTCTAGGTTTTTGAAGGGGGATGGAGTGCAGGGGAGAGTGGAGAGAAAGGGACAACAGGTGGATAGAATGCAGGGGAGAGTGGAGAGAAAGGGAGGACAGGTGGAGAGGGATGTATAATTTTAAAATCTCCATAGAGACAGCCCACTGGAATTTTCCTTAAAACTGCTGGTTTAAAAATGGAAAAATGATTTCAAATTAATAAAATTTAAAGGAAGGTGCCTGCATACATCTAGGTATTTATCTATCTTAAAGGCTCACTCTAGGTGAACTTTTAATAATGATAATAATTAGTAGTACATAATTTTAAAAATCATGTCCAACTTCCATATGGAAGGCAGTTCACCACCCTGATGCAATAGAGCCCAAAGAAGTAAGACTGGTTGGGTGTTCTCACCCTTTCTTCATGAGATGAGATGGGCCTGTTCTTACTCACTGGATTGTGGCAGCAGCTGTGGAAAAGGAATAATCCAAACTAGATTTTGGAGGAATAAACAATGGGAATTAGTAACAAGTGGATACTGCCATTTTGTACACAAGGAATGACCCCACCCACTGACAATGGAGGTACATTCTATCAATTTCTGACTGTAAGGGACTTTCACAGTAATGCTGCTGGTATCTGAGATCTGGACATACACGGGTATGAAAATAGTATAATGTGCATAAGCTGACTTTAAAAAAATTACTTCTTTCGCATTGTTCTGTTCACATTATTTTCACTAAGCTTCCACCTAAGGTTCTCATATTACATATTGCAACACTAATAAAAAAGAACCAAAAAAAAAAAAAAAAAAAGAACAATAAAGCCAAAGGGTACACTGCAGTTTCATTTCCTTAAAAGCCAACAAAAGTGATTAATTACATGTTGGCTCACCAACCTTTAAAAAAAAAAAAATCAAGACCAAACAGCACAAGGATGATTTGTGGAAAAATTGCTCTCTAAAGTCTTCCGATAACTAAGCCATTTAAAATTTAGACAGACTTATTCTATAATTTCCTTTTGTTTGACGTCGTTGGAAAGGGGGCAATAAGAAGGTCAAGCTGTTTTTTCCAGAGTTTTATGAAAGGCTGTTGCTATATCCGTTTAAAGAACATTTAGAGAATAACAAGTGTTCTTTTATTCGTCATATTCTCTTCCCCCAACTTGTGTTATTTTATAGCTTAATATATAGGACATGAAACTTTTTTTTCACTAACAACATATACTGATGTGAGCTAAGGTATACAAATAAGATTCTTTTTTTTTTTTTTTTTTTTTTTTGCTTTTTAAATGTAATATTAACTAATGCTGGGTCTATTCAGAGATTTCCCTTCTGTTACTTCAGGAATTTATAAGGCAAGGCTGACCTCAGTATACTATATACTGCTGAGAAAAGAATTTTGTCCATTTTTAAAGGGTCTCAATAAAAGCAGGACAATCACGTATTTTATGGCTGGCCTTTCTGTTAGTACTAGAAACCTAACAACCCCTTCTCACGTATGAAAATGGATTCAGATGACCAAAGTGCAATTAATTTAATCTGGGTCAAGTGTTTTCCAAGCTTGACTAATGAGAAGAATCATCTAGGGTGTCTGTGACAAGTACACATTCAAATCCCAGTCCTATCCTAATCATTTTGAAGCCCGGAACTCACTCTTTCTCTCCATCCAGTCATTTATTCATTTTAGAGAGAGAAAGAGAGAGAGAACAAGAACAGGGGAGAAGGGCAGAGGGGCAGAAAGAGAGAATCTTAAGCAAGATCCATGCTCAGTGCAGAGCCCCACATGGGGCTCAATCCCACAGTCATGACTTAAGCCAAAACCAAGAGTCAGACACTCAATGACCGAGCCACCCAGGCACCCTGGAACTCAGTATTATAAACAAGAGTCCTTGTTCAGTCTTAAGATCCAGCAAATTTAGGAATTAATTTTA